GGTCGCTTCCTGAAGACCTGGAATGCCAAACCCCAAATCTGAAATGCACGCCCTTACAGAAGAACACCAAAAACAGGAAACTGATGAGGATGCTTGAAGAGTTCTAGAGCCAACATCACTGTCTAAGCTCGCAGGCTACTCTGGTATCTCCCATACAGAAACCTCGGCAACCTAAAGACCTAAACCCTAAACCCGTAAACCCCTAAAACCATAAAACCATAAACCCTAAACCCTAATCCCTTAAGCCCTAAAGCCTAAACCCTAAAACCCTAAAACCCTAAACCCTAACCCCTAAGCCCTAAACCCCAAACCCTAAAACCTAATCGCTGGAGGCGGACCTCATCAGAGTCGGGGCTGTCCTTGTAGTCAGAGGCTTCGCTTTGAGTCTCTTGGCGGGGGGTTCGTGCTTCAGAGTTTAGGGTTTAGGGTTTCGGGTTTAGGGGGGTTCGTGCATCTGAGTTCTTGAAGAACGGCTCAATAAGGCTTAGAAGGCGTAAGATTTGGGCTGGGGATCCGAGATTGTGACTTAGGGTTTGTAGCGTCTGTCCCAGAGAGTCCATGCCACTGCCACTGTGGCATTAAGTGCCCGTCCCATGGCGGTGCATCTGCACTCTCACGTGTTTTGTTGTGCAAGATGTGTCGGAAGTTCAAGGTGCAATTGGGTTACCTTGTAATCCATTCATGCGGGCACGTAGGCTGTAGGTCTTGTGAGCTTGCTGAGTAACTTGCAGAGTAGACGGAAAACGGCGCTCGAGAATGACAAAAAAACAAAGGCAGGATAAACCCTAACCCCTAAACCCTAAACCCCTAAATCCAAAGGGGTCGCGTCAAGCGACAACTCCAAAACCACCAGCCCGAATCGTCCGAAAGCGATGCATGGAACGCATGGATCTTGAATGGGTGGGGTTTGGGCGCTAAGCGAACGTAGGGAGCTTAAGATTTAGAAATGGGTTTTGGGGCGTGTGTGTGTATGTATGTATGTATGTATGTATGTATGTATGTATGTATGTATGTATGTGTATGTATGTGTATGTATGTGTATGTGTATGTGTATGTGTATGTGTATATGTCTATGTATATGTATATGTATATGCATATGTATATGCATATGTATATATATATGTATATGCACAGAAAATAACTATAACACACTGCATTCCGTTACACTCTCTATATATGATGATGAAATCTTGCTCGGGACTTCACAGTGCCACATCTAATCAAAGGCTCACATCCCAGCTCGACGAGCTGCATGCGCCTGCTCCAGTGGCTTCCAGGAGCTATGTGGTTTTTGGCGACGGGTAGACAACCTCACCTCACTTTTGAGCGTTGATACCTGTAAGTAGGGCAGTGGGCAAGGTGGCTGCTATTGTAATGTAGAGTGTCGAGGCCCTCTGAGTTGGATGCGTAGAACCCCAACATGGTCCCGATCCCAATCTTACCTGCCACGTAGACTTGTAATGTTTGGTATGGCTTGCACAGAAGAGGCACTGTATGCTTGCCGTGGCGCTTCGCTGACCACTTAGGCAAACTCTGCAGGGGTGAAGCATCTTCAACTTTCTCGCAGCACCACCGCCACAACCAACCTCACCTTCACCAGCAGCCTCAAACTCCTCCTGTGAAGCTCCGCAGTGAGATGGTCCCTGCAAGCGCGTCCGGCTGTTGGAACTTGTCAGTAGTGGTCCCACCTCGAATCAACCGACCTGTGGCTACCCTGGCTACCCCTTCTAACGATGAACGGAAGACATGTTGAGCTGTTTGCATCCCACGCCCGGGGATCCCAGGAATGAAGACAGATCATGCCTTGACTTGTGGCACATGTAGCCAGCAGCTCCACATCACGAGATTCGAGCCGTGGATTACGCGAGCACCGTGAGAAGTAGCACAGCTGCAAACAGGAGCTATGTTCGAGATTGCCATCTCAGCCGGACAACCTACAACAACAACCCCGGACCACTGCTGTCGTCACTTGGCAAGTTGATCATACTAATGGTTTGTCACTGTCACACCACAGCATGTTTTGGCACAATGTGTTGTTGGCATTTGCCGTAGCAGCTCCCCATGAGAGCAGCTCCCCTTTGGGGTTAGGACTCTCCGCGGAACAATCAAGGGAAAGATGTTTAGGGCCTTAGTGCAGGGCTTAGAGTTAGCATCATAAAGCTAAGTAGTCAAGGCCTTGTACTCCTGACCTTTGTTCGCCGGGAGACGTGGATATTGGCACGGCCTGCCAGGGCTCAAACGACAGATATCTTCGATGCGAGCGAAGCTGTATAGTTCGAGCAGAAAGGCCACGGGCTTCCGGCGAGAGGCCTCCTCAGCGACGTGGGAGCGTGATCACCTGCTCTGATGACTTTACTGGGCACTCCGGCGACCAGCGGCATGTTGTTCAAAGATCTTTGGAGTGGACTGCTTCTGCCGATCACCTCCTAGTGGTGGATCTTTGGGGAGGCGGCGGGGGAGGGACCGGCTCAGTCATAAAGAGGCAGCAAACAAAAGATATCGAGGTGACAGTGAATGTTACTGGGTTTGGGGGCCAATTCCGCGCTCCAAGTGGTGTCTACCATCTTGATGCTGACAGTGCTGGCAACGTCAGGTATGTCAGCCCTGGCGACGTGTACCATCTCGGCCGAGGAGACAATTGTGTCAATGCAGAGAGGCCCTGCTGGGGCATCAGGTTGAACCCCGAGCATTTCAAGTCCAGCAACATTCAGAGACCAATTCTTACTCCGGTTGCAGAGTTGGATTGGCCATCTCACGAGCTGCCGCTTGGCAGGCGCGACTGGTCCTTCTTCGATACATGGACAGGGCGGTATGGAGGACAGGGCAGGACACAGGGTCTTGTGGAAGTGAAGCGTTTGGCGACGTCCTATGGAGTCTGTGGTGGTTCGGGCGGGGGCGGCGCACACGCCCGTGCTCTGGTGGAGGTGAGAGCAGGGCGCACGTACCGTATCGAAGCTGGACGTGGTGGCAGGTCCGGCGCAGGGGGGCGCGGTGCCGAGAGAGGCCACAGTAGCCGAATGCTGGAGAAGAGTGACTTGGGGGAGTGGCACGTCCTGGCAGAGGCCAGTGGAGGGGTCGGCGCCGGGTCATTCGACGACAAGTCCCAGTTTTCCCCTGGAGGTCAAGGGGGTGTCGCGCCCAACTTGAAAGCCCATACATCCACAGCTAGTGGACACCAAGGGCAGCCATCTCGGTCTCGTCTGCAATTCTCGGAGACCATACTGTCTCCAGATGCTTTGCAGACACTTCCGCATAGGCTGTACGATGACAGCATGGACCTGACCTGCCAAAACGCACTTCGCAGCAATTTCATACCTCCTCCTCCTCCTCCGTTTGTGTGTCGTGATCCAGTTCCCAGCGAATATTATAAACCTTTGCCACCGGTGTGCATGGTTCAGAATGCACGCCGCCCGGTGGCGCAAAACGTGGATTGGGACTACTTCGTCAGCTGCGACGTGAGGTGCGTGGGAACCGAGTGGCCTTCCTCCCCATCCGGTGCCTCCGCCGCCTCGGCTACTGGGCTTGCAGAGCAGATGAGGGCCGGACAGGGAGGAAACGGTAGCTGCCCGCAGAAGCGGGCCTCTTCCTCCAAGGCTTCCTTGGAGAACAGGCCTGGGAACGATGGAAAGGATGGTTTGGGCATCGTGCGCCATTGCAGGAGGGAGGGAGCTTATACTCTCGCTCTGCAGCGCTGTGAAGGCAGCAGCTCCTGGACCATCCATGGCCTGTGGCCCCGCGGGGTGCGAGACTGTGCAAACACCGCCCTGGATGTGTCCACCCTCTCCGGCCTGCAGCCCCAACTGGTGTCCCAGTGGCCTTCGTGCTTGCCGTCTTCTGAAGCTGGGTTTTGTTCGGGAGCGTGCAATGATTAACTAAGCTGCCATAGCAGTGATACCTTTCATGTCGTTTTCAGTCAAGTTCCATCACAGAACCCAGGAAGCTGAAGCCTTCTGGCAACACGAGTGGCAGAAGCACGGCGCCTGCTTCAGCAGCAGCCCAGTCCACTACTTTCAGCTGACGCTGCGCTTGTTTGACCGACACTCCCATGCCTGCGCTAACTTCACATCCAGGGACTGCCGGCTCTGCCTCTTGGAACGCACCATGGAAAGCTTGCTCTCTGGGTATCTCTGGGTCTCAGGGCTTGGGAGTTTCGAATTTGGATTCTGCTTGAGGCTCAGAAAGGGGTTTATGTCTTTGGTTTTCAGGCTGCCGGGGATGGGTTCTCCCGTGCATTTTTCCAAAGCTCAAAACTCCGCCCTGTAGATCCAAAATCTCGAACACAATTCCACCACCCCAAGTTGCAAAGCCTGCCACGCTACGTCCCTTCAAAAAAGCACATCAACCTAGGCCTCACCGAGGAATTCGAGCTGTGCGACTGACGGCTCTCTTGTTTGGGCTCTCCGTAGATCAAACGTTAGATTGTGGGACTTCGGGTTTTCGGGTAGGCGAGTGGGAGTTTATGTTAGAGTGTCAGGCCGGGCTGGATTCATGGTAAGACAGCTGAGGATGACTGAGGATTCGAGTTGGAGGGTTTAGGGCTTCCCGAAGCCCTGCCTTGCACCTGTGACTGTTTAGGGCCGGGCCCTGGGCTCTGCTTTTCTGAGTTGTTTTTAGGGCGCCGAGCTCCCATCTAAGCCATCGTGCGTGAACCCGATACACTAACCCCAACGCCCAGCACCCGAAATGCTTTTGCTTCCTAGACCCTACATTCCTATCCTTACTTCATTCTTGCGAGGCTTCTTTGTCCTAGGCCACTAGGTCAGCTGCTGGGTTTCTCAGCCTTCCTGGCCCAACGTGGACGAAGCTCCGGGCTGTTGACAAAAGAAGTTTCCCACCACGATACAGCTAGGTGCTTAGTCGTTAGCTAACCTTTTTGGAGCAGGGTGATTAACAAAAAAACATGGCAAGTAAACACAAATAAAACGGGACTGAAAGGTGAGACCATGACCAGTTATCCAGCTCGATTGACATGTTGTGGCCATTCTGATTGCATTTATGGTTATACTCCTTGACCTTGTTGGTACTTTATAGCAATCACCATCATCTCTAGTTGCAGAGGAGGTGTGCAGGATGGAGTACCAGCCGTTTTGTTTTTGCAACTGCTATCCTATAGCTGTTCAGATTTAGTCTGACCGTTGTTGTCGCCATTAGCCCGAAGCAGTAGTGAAAGCTGAAAATGATGGCCTTTTTGACAATGCCTCGCCGGGTCCAGCGAGTGCTGTCGTGCACCTACACATCTTGAAATGCCCTGCTTCAGGTAATAACAGGTGGTACGTTTATTAAAAAGTAGTTTTGAATTTCATGCATGTTTTATAAGGGGTTTGACTCCTTGTACCAATACTAGGGTGCATCCCTATGAGTTGCAGACCCCACCAGAACCAGAGCCCTATTCTAACAACCAAGGCCCCTGTATTAAAGTTTAATCCCCAAATCCCCAAAACACTAGATCCCCTCATACAATCTTTTAAAACCCGAAAAGCTGTACTTTAAGATTGATTTTCCATGTCTGCAGCCACATATTAACAACCAAGGCGGTGGTGAGACCGTGTAAAACCCAAAAGCTGTACTTTACCAATGAAATTTTCATATCTGTTGTTACTCAACAGACCAAGGAGGCGGTAAGAATGGTTCGCTAGAAGGGCCTAAGAGGCTATCAGGTCTGATGAATATGACAGGACTGAGTGCTAAGCCTTACCTTACTAGTAACCGCTTCATTGCATTTCAGCATCCCCGATATGCTCTGGGAACATACCTTGTTGAATGCTTGTGTACATTGGGGGATCCTTTTCTGCCGCGTCTACAAGCAGGCTCCCTAGCTAGTTATCTGACACTCCTACATTAATACCCGGCATGCTTAGGAGAATGATCTATTTCGGCAGCGTGCTCAAACCTTGATCCGAAACCGCTGCACACCCCTGCTAATTTGAATAGGGTGTGGGGGTATATTACAGTATAGTTGTAACAAGGAGCCCTAGGAATGATGTTGGTAAGTATTCCGGCCTCTACATTGCACTGGGAGGCTCATTCATTCATTGACACAACTGGCTGCAGGGCTTGCAGTGGGTTGCTATGCAAGCCGTCTCTAGCTTGTGAATAGGGTTCTACGGTGAGCACATACCATGCTGTCATCCGACCTTCCACCATCAAACAATGGAGTAAAAAGGGACGGCTAGAATCCATGGTGCTGTGGCAAGGTTTCACAGTTGTCTCAGATCCGCAACAAGTTGACCCACTCATCGCCCTCCGAAACCCCCTGTGCAAATCTGGGCCCTATAGGGTGACAGTAGACAGGCTGTAGAGCTTTGACGACGAGGTCTTCAGGCTCCGTTGCAACCCTACAAGCCAAGACCTTAACTGCCCCACACCCCGCTAAACTTCTGGAACCCTAAATATCCGTGAGCCGCCCCTAATCTCTAAACCCCTTCCACAAGAATTGACAGTCCGGACCTTGGGGATTTTCAGCTCACGGTTGCTTTGCGGCGAGGCCAAGAGGCGATGGCAGCACAGCAGGCCAGGCCGAAACGTTGCCGTAACGGAGGGGCCTCGACAATTGGAACGGGGCTTTAACTTTGGGGGCAGAGTATACACCATACGTATAAGCCCTCCTCTAATTTTACGTGGCCGGTCCTGTCCTACGGAAGAATACAACAGCCCTTATGCAACCTCAACTCCGCTTAAAGCAAAGAGGACTTTTTCAAGATGGATGCAGGCCTCGGTTGTGATTGCTTCGGGGCTTCAGGCCTCTCGCGGGATCAAAAGCTTCTGTAAACCTTTAGAGTCCATAAGACTTTTCCGCCATGTAACGACGCAGCCCCCCCGCCCCCCACCCCCCCCCCCGCCCCGCCCCCAAAGCCCTCTTTTCCCTAAGCTACTCCGTAAGCCCAGACAAGTCCCAAATCCTCTCCGATGCTTTCAGGGCTCCAGAGTGCCTCGAGAGGGGACAGCTGAGCTTCAGAGGAGGTTGAAATCGAGGCCCCGGGCTGTTTCTGGGGATTCTAGAGGTCCTTGAAAGCAATCAAGGAACTTCAAAGTATTGTTGTTTTTTGGGTTCGCTGCTAATGATTTTTGGAGGGGGGTCTGGGGGTTTGTGGGATTCAGGGCTGAAGTGTTTCGGGTTTGTGGGTAGAGGCGGATCCACTTTAAAGACTATGTGCAGTGGCTTTAGGCTGAATCCAGCTCTTTCTCTGTCGATTAAAAGACTGCCCCACCTCCTAAACTTCCGAAACTTCCCGATGGGAGACAGAGGGGAGGAGATATTCTGGCATTCTCAGTTTCAGCAGAAGACCTCTCATGACAGGCGGTTTTCGGGTTTGATCTGGGACCGGACGAGCTACCGGTGTGGTGGCCGCATCTGCGAACCTGCTAGGCTCCAGAACCCATATGATGCCGTCATCCCGAAACCCTACACTCCTACAGTTTCAACCGACATTGCAGAGTCCGGAACCCCAAGCCCCACAGCCCAAGAGCTAAAGAGGCCTGCTACCTGCCCAAACTGCCAACATCATGCCGTGGCCTGCATCATTCCACCTTTAGAGTTTCGCGCTTGGTTTTCGGAGGTTAGCCCATGTGAAGATTGCAACACTATGGCGCTCTCCATTTTGGATCATTTGAGGGTTCCTTTAAAACTTTAAGGGTTCCCTTAAGGTTTCCTTTTATGGGCAGGATCTCCCCTACTTCTTGGGGGATCGTAAGCTTTACCTTTGAGCCGGATTTAGGAACGGAACTGGGGCGTTTCAGACTCGACCTACACAGTTGTGCTTCAAGATGCACACGGGGGAGCTGCGGGGCGAGTGTTACTGTACGGCTCATAGACCCTGAAGCCTAAACCCGAAACGCCGCAAACGCTGAATCGTGAACCCTAAGCCCGGGGCCGTTTGGTTCGAGAGTTTTGAGCAGGGCCCTCGCCGCTGCCTCGAAAACGACGATCCGGTGCGCTTTGTGGCCTCATGACTTTCGAGTCTGTGGTTTAGGCTTTAGGCACGGCCTCGGCAAGTTTCACCGTTGACCTCTTAGGAAGCGCAAAAACTGTGCTTTTATTATCGGGTTCAGGGTTCTCGACAGCAAGCCTTCGGCTTCATCCCTTCACCTAGATGCAACCTAAACTCCAGTAACCACGACCTCTGAACCTCAGAAGACCCACACCACTGTGGAGGGGTTTCGGCTAGGGCCAATTACAGCAAATCGGAGTCGGGAGGTGGTTGACCAGATGTCTGACACCGAAGGAAGCCTCATGTGGAAGAGGGGATGGTGGTGGCGACGGCGTTGGTGATTGTTGTGGTCATGCGTGGTATTTTTGGTGGTGGTGGAGATTGACATGGTAGTGATGATAAATGGTATTGATAAGAAGAGAGTCAGTGCCACTCCACATCGCAGAAGTCTCAGAAGCCTCTGAACACAACGCAAATGTCGCCCAAACAAGTTGTCTCAGCCCCCGTGAAGTGATGGCGGGAAACCCTACTCTAAGCCCTCAAGCCAGATCGCCGTCGGAACCATTTTACATCTGAAGCCTCACGTCACCGAACCGCCAAGAGTAGAAAGTTTTTTGCAAGCCACGAACCATTTGTCCCCGCACGACAGTCCTATAAGCCTCTTCTGAACCCTTACATCGACGTACATCGATTCCTAATTCCCTAACTGTCTTCCACCGCCCTCCTCCCCCCCCTCCAATTCTTTTGTGGTTGGGGGTGCTTCGCGTTTGGAGTTGACCTCTGTGCCATGGAACTTGCAGTGCTACTCCGTACAACCCTGAACCTTGTAGACCATACCCGTCGAAACGGATGGGGGGTCAATGCACGCGGGCTCGAGCGGCATCTACTTCGATCGGTCTAAAGTTGCATTAAGAAGCTGCAGAGGTTCTCGAAAAGGAGTCTTAGCAGGCTTTGGTTCCGGGTGTAGAATCGCTACTCGTAGCTGGGTGAGTTGTGGCTTACTGCTTAAACCCGAAACCCTAGACGGTAACCCAAGACCTGTGAGGATTCATCTGCTATGCGCGCCGTCTGTTTAGTTGTAGCATGTCATCCAGATGGAAATGGTGCAAGCAGCGGCTGCCAGTTTTGTAGTCGCAGTTAAGTACTTGAGTATCTTTGGCATTTACTTGTGCGTGCTCTGTCATGCGTCATGAGTCTTGCTTTCTTATGACGCGCTGGTGGCACTACCAGTCAGTATGGCCCAGCCATGGAAGTTGAGGCAATCAGAAAGCCGCAGGGTTTGTCAGTCGAGGGTACTGCGCAGAGAGAGTGGCGATTAATTTTCTTGTTGAGAGTTTTGCAGACTTGCGGCAGCATGTTGTAAGCAGGCCTGTGGTGGCATTGACAAATCACTCCTTCGTGGTCGCACGCTCATGTGCAGCAGCCGCCCTGCTTTTCCTAATCCCCGTCCTAAGTCTCCTCGTGGAAAGGTCGTAGTCCTGCGCAGAGCTGATTCGGATTTGACCTTATGCTTTTCAAGGATTTCGGACACGAGCTGGATTACACCAAGCACAGCCCTATAAAGCCAGATTAACCATTTGGGTCTGCAAAACCTAAACCTTGAGCGACTTAAAGCCTAAGACGCCGCCTTGGAGGGGCCCGCAGAAGGGGCAAGGAACGGCCTTGCGATGGTGAGGTGTTGGCGAAAAAGATGTGAGGCGGGGAAGTGGGCTTTTGGGGGCATGTAGGTCTAACGACAGTGGACGACTGCCCAGAAAGCTTCCATCTAAAGCTAAAAGTCTCACTCTGGTAGTCCCTGAACGACCCATCGAGTTCACAGCACGTTGCAAGGAGAGGGTGCAGGATGCGCATGCGACGTGGGAAGGGTGTCGCGGTGTGTCGTGGCTAGTTGAGGTTTACGGGCATTTTCTTCACAATTGCCCCATGCCTGAACAATCCGTGGCTCCGATGTAAGAATCAAACCCGTGAGGACGACCCAGATTGTTATCACTGTCATCATCGCAGTCCTTAGCATACCACGTCGTCCGATACCTTTGACTCCATGCGGGTGGCTCTGCTTTTCAGACATAGTTTGAGAGTGGCGAACAACTTTGTGAATTCAGAAAGGCACCCTACATTCCAAGTCCTCAGTCGACGCAGCGTGGCATGAAGCCCCTATTCCATTCTTGGCCGCCGTCGCGATTTGAAGCTCTCAGCTCTTGAACCGTAGACTTCTGCCTCACCCGAATAAGCTCTTTCATATGAGATCCCTGCAAGAAGTAGGTTCAGGACGCCAAACCTTAGACCCTGTACGACCGACGCCTTGAACCACTTTTATAAACCGAGAGAATGTTGACAAATCTAAGCTCTCAACTCTTTAACACGGTGCCCCTCCCTACTAACTCTAAAGTTTCAATCCACAGCCCAACCCTAAAGTCCGAAGCCCTAAACCCCAAACCCTAAAAACAACTCTAAAGCCCGAAACCCTACACCCTAATAACCCCTAGACCCTGAACCCTAGCCTAAGAACCCTAAATGCCCTCAAGCCCGAAGCCTTCATCCTTCAATGTCCGGCTCCGGCATCTGGGCTCGTTCCTCTCAATCGGCGGGGTGCTGTAGGTTTTTTGAGGAGCTTTGGGCTAGGATTCGGAATTTTATGGGGCTGATAGAGTTTGGCGTGTTAGGGTTTAGGGCCCAACAACCTTCTGTAGGCCGTTTAGGGTTGAGGGCTTGCCGAGGTCTTTAGGCCACACAGATGTGCAGCACGACGGTCGCGGGGCTGCAGGCCGGGCTGGCGGCGGTTTCGACTGCTGAATGCTTATACGCTTTAGTTTTCTTGAAGGGCTTCATACGGGGCCTGTAGTTCGGATGCGGGATTCGGGATTCAGGTTACAGCTCCCGACCCATCGTATAGTAGCCCTTGTTGTAACCCTTATCTCATCCAATAGTAACCCCTGTAACTGTACCCTGAATTCTATAAATTTAGATACCCCCTGGTCTTGCGTAGGGTTATCTTTCGCTCTCAGCCCTCGCGTGATCATCTTCAGAACGTGCAGTGCAGATCAAGCCTGTGGCTGCTGTTTAGGGTTTAGGCTTCAGGGTTTCTGGTGGGTTTCTGGTCGGTTTCGGGTCTTCTTGAAATGGCTTTCAGGGATTAAGACAGTGTAATTAGGGTTTGTGGATTTGGGGGGGGTGTTAGGGTTGGTCCATGTTCGGATTTCGCAACCCTAGCCGGACCGGACTTCTGTGATCTCTTTGAGCCAAAGCCCCTTGACTCCCATTCCGATTATCCTGAGCCTTCAACCCTGACTCTAGCACCTGCTCTTTGAAATCAAGACACAACCCCAAAACTTAAATGAGGCCCAAGCAGCATGCTGCCTCTTTCCTCTCAAGTTTACGGCCCGCAGCTCCCAAACCAGAAGGGAACCCGACTTCCTACCATCGCGAAATCCCAAGGCCCTCAAACCCCTTGTTGCCCAGATCGGGATGCTTGTTCATTTCCAATGGGGTGTAAGAGAGGTACCTGTTCAACGATAATTTCTTATGGCAGGGACCATTAATCACGCTAAACCCTACAGTAAGCCCTCAACTGTAAACCCTTAACCGTAAAACCTAAACCCTAAACCGAATTCCACATCAACGCGCTGCGTCGGGTGCCATGGCGGATGCTGGGAAACCGGAGCCAGGTCTCCGCGAGTGGGTGACCCTTGTCAGCCGGGAATCTTTAGTGCTCTTAGGAATTATTTGGTTTTTGATATCTTTAGTGCAGGAAAGCTCCAAGGGAGTGCTCAACACCTGTTTGTATTCTGGCTCTGAGGGCGCTTAAGGATGAAGGAATTGTGTTTGGAGTTGCCCCAAGGGTACAAAGAGCACCAAGGACCCAGCAATTCGGTTCTTGGGTTTAGGTGCGTAGCAATGCAGGGTAGCATTCGGGAGAGTACGCGACTGGTAGCAAACTTGGACCTCGAAGGGCCAGGTCTGGTTGTGGGGTGGGTGAGGGGTCCAGGGTCTATAAGACTTGATTTAGATTTGTTCCGTGAGTATGGGATATTTTGCTTATTGCCTGCGGATCATTCAGGGTTGACAGTCTAAGTTTGGGAGTCCTATGGATTTTCAGGCGCAGGGGGCTTGGGGCGTAGAGCAATATCCAGATTGTTATGTAATGCTATTTCGCGTTTAGGGTGAACGGGCTCGGGTGCAGGGCGGGTGCGGGTTTACTTCATAAATTAAGGAATGTCGCCCAGCCTATACAAGTCCAAGAGTTAAGTCGCATCGACCCAGCGAGCAGGGGGATTCCGCTAAAACGCAATGCTGCCACGTTTGTGTGTCTCGAACGAGTGCTTGTGGAATTGGGCCCCTACATGGGGCATGGCTGGTTTTGATATGTTGTGATGGCACTTGTGTCTCGAGTTGGTGCTTGCGAAATCCAGCGTCTACATGGGGAATGGCTGGGTTTATTTCATTCGTTTCGTGGCAGGCGTTGAAACCCACATCCGGACTGCGTGCCCATGGGGTTTCGACATTTCTGATGTTATGAAACGATGTGATGTGACTGCAAAGTAGGCACGTATACCTGCGACACGCGGCCTTTCTTTCATTTCGTTACATGTGTTCAAACCCACATCCGGACCGCGTGCCCATGAGGTTTCGATATTTCAGATGTGATTAAACGCGGGTGATGCGACTCACCGTGGATCGGCGTGTGACAAGGGAGATGCTGTGACCAAGCGCGCCCTGATGCGACTTAAACCCGCCACTTGTATCGTGTTTTCTTATTGCTGGTGCGAGAAATATTCCTGAACTGCGGGGAATGGAGGTGTTTGGCTTTGGACGGACAGTCCGCATGCTGTTTGTTCCTGTGCTGCGGGCAGAAGCCGATGTAGCATTTCCGTCATTCGTTTCTGCAGACGAGAATTTTTGGCTAGGGATTACGAGCACATTGACATGGGGTTCGAAGTGTGAGGCTAGGGTTAGGGGACACTAACCTTCAGAGGGGCTTGGGGTTCAGGCCTAGTTTGGGGTTTCTGGTTTGAGGAATCAGTGTCTTGGGGTTCAAGGCTCAAGCCATCACTGGAATCACAGCGGCTGCCAGGTCATTCTCACTCGACTTGCGAGGCTCTTCCCAGCTCGAATATCCAAGTCCTGCCTTGACAACTCAATCCCAAAGCCGAACACCTTGAAAGCAAATCCTGCCTGAATCCTAGCCCTCAACCCGGAACGCACGAAGCGCTCCGAGAGCTCATTGAGAACTTCTCTCCTTTGCATCCTAGGACAGTTATCAACGGCAGCATTGTGACATGGATTACAGAAAGACGTCCTCGTTTTCCATGCTTCAGGATTTCAGAGCTAGGAGTTCTGGATTAGTTACAGGCTTTAGTCACACAAATGCGTGGAAAGGTAGTTGCAGTCTTTTCTTGGGTTCCGGAATATGTCCTCAGAAACGGCCCACCACAAATCCTTTCTGTTCAAACCTCTATATTGGTTCACACGCCGGGAGTGCGGATGGTTCGTGTAGGTTAGTGACGGGAGGGCGGGGGTCTAGAGGGTAGCTGCAGGACCCCTAGTTTGGGACTGCAGGAACACAGCTACTTCGAGCTTGAGGTGATTGCTGGATCTGAGAGTTCAGGGTGCAGGACATATTACACTGATGCATGTCTCTGATGTAGCGTATGATGTCAAGATAAGACCAGACATATAAAATAGATGGGAACCGCTCTGGATTTCAAAGCATGCTGAGGTTGCATTAATGATAAAGGTTTGACCGCGAGAACAACTACGTAGGGTTGGTGGATTTGGAGATTCCAAACCAATTATTTAGAAACTCAGGTGACTTTCTTCTTCACCTTCTTCTTCTATGGCTGGGCCTCTCTGCAAGCGCTCCTTGAAGCAGACGGCGTGTACTTGGCGGTCTGCGCACCAGAGGCGCGAGCACAAGACCTGTGGCCGAAAGTCGTAAGACCAGCGGTAAGCCAGGTACTGACCACATCGTAAAGGCTATCGGCTATCGTTGCAACGATAGCAACGATGGCAGAAACCGAGTGGAAATGACATGAATAGACAGGTAGGAACCGCAAAGATGAACACTCACTAGCTGAAGAAATAGCTCTTTCTCACTCTATCTATGTATGTAATGTAATGTAATGTAATGTAATGTAATGTAATGTAATGTAATGTAATGTGTGTATATATATACACGCATATATATATATACATACATACAGATAGATAGATATATATATATATATAGAGAGAGAGAGAGACCGACAGATTGTGTTGGTTCGTTAGTCAGTCAGTAAGCTAGCTAGATGCATGCATGCATGGATGGATGGATGGATGCATGGATGAATTGATGGATGTGTTGGTTTGTTAGTCAGTGCTAGCCAGATGCACGCATGGATGGATGGATGGATTGATCCATGGATGGACGATGGATGGATCGATAGATAGATAGACAGGCAGCTAGGAAGGCAGGTAGATGGCTAGTTCGGTAGCTAGTTAACCAATGCCAATGACTTGGCTAGTTTTTTGAATGCTTTGATTATCATTTGTCTTTCTTCAGTTCTGCAGTTAGCTGTTTTGCTAGTCAAGTTGCTAGCTAGGCGGGTAAGGAGGTAGGCAATCGAGTCGGTAGCTATAGGTAGGTAGGTAGGTGCGTGGGTGGGTGGGTGGGTGGGTGGGTAAGTAGACGATCGACAGATCGGCAGATGCACATAAACAGATAGAGGTATGAACGATCCCCTGTTCGTCTTCCAGTCTCCATTCTCTATTTCCTTCCGACCAAGCTCCGAAACCGGCCTTTCGGAGATCCCTAAACCTGCCAAGGATGGCAGTAGCCAGGGTTTAGCCTCCTGCGGTGTATGGTTTTGAGCTTAGGGATTTACTGTTTTAGGTTTCAGGTTTAGGGCATCTAAGGTGTTGGGTTGAACGCTGGTTTCTGGGGTGCTGGAGCTCAATTAGTGTTAATCAAGCCTGAGTTGGGGAATGGGTTCTTGTTCAGCAACTGGCCTCGGAGCCGCATATGGGGCTTTTATGGGTTCCAGGTACCAGGATGGTATCTTGGAGAAGGTTCCTGAACAAGGAGTTGGGTTGATACGAAAAAGGGCGGCTCGCAGGTGGAGACTTGAACTCCCCACCAAAACCCCAAGCCAACGCCAATAAAGTCCTAAAGCCAAAAACCCTCAGATCCGTAAAGGTCCGAAGACCCGAACAAGCTTTCACCTGGTTTGCGGCAACTTCACAAGCTTCAGCTTGGAAATCGGTTGTTGGAGTGAGGCTTCAGGGATTCAGGCTGGAAGCTTGAAACGGATGCAGCCAGCCAAGACTCAAAGTGAAAGCGCCTTTGACAGGAACCGTTGTGTTCCGAACGGACCAGCCGCATGATTCTGCTCTACACGGTGGACAACCTCGTCATCTGGCCATGGAAATATTGAGCCTGACGCTACACCAGACGTCCCAACCCCTAAACCTCACCCGCCTCATACCCTGCACCCGATTTCCCAGCCTTCAGAAGTCCCCTGAGACCCTCTTTTCATCCTCGAAGCCTTAAGCCCTAAACCCGAGAACCGCAAGACTCCTCTGAAGCCGCAAAGTTCGGCCCCGATTCCCGAAACCCCAGACATGATTGGGTGGGTGCTTGGGTTTAGGATGGTAGTGAATGTATCGGCTCAGGGTTTAGGGCTTAGGGTTGGTATTCCTTTCGACCAATCCGGGCAAGGCAATGAAGCTCCAGATCCCTCAACCCTAAGCCTCAAAACTGACATGAGCCCCTTAAACCCTGAAGCCCAAACCCTCCACTTGCCCTAAACCCAACCCCTAGAAGCCTATACCCCAAACCCTCCACTGCCCCAGACCCAAACCTAAAACCCTGTACCCCCAACCTTGAGCTCAAAGCTCTGAGTCCTCAAAAGCGCAGGGGCTCATGTTGCGGTTTTGGTAAGTGCAAACAGGGCTCTTCAAGACTTTTTGGTGAGTGTAGGATTACTCTGAGGTTTATGAGACGGGCAGTAGAAAAATCAACATTCGGCTTCATGTGAGTCTATATCTGCCCGATCCCGCAGCAAAACCCGAAGCCCTGGGGTCACCAAAGCCCTATGAATTTGGAACCCTCGAGGTCACGGTCGTCACTTCCGCGGCCGTGGCGTTGGCGGTAGATCGCGTAGGGCCAGCGAAGCTGGCATTGCTTGGAGGCCTTCTGCAGGCAAGCGCTCTGCTCCTCATGGCCTTGTCCGAAGGGTGCCGCGGCTGAGGAGCCTGGCCCACAGGGGTTTTGAGGTCTATGTTGCTTTTGTTGTATGTCTTTGTTGCAATGACCCAGCACGGGATGGTGCATAGTGCAAAGAAAGTGGGGGCTGGTCCGGCTAGGAGCCTGCTGAGACGCGAGAATCCTGAAAAGGGATTCCGGAGGAGGCTTGGAACCCGAAGCATTCTCTCTACCGACACTTTCGCTCTAAACCTGAAACCTGGGCCCTACAGTCCTTCCAGTTCAACAAGCCAAAAACAAAAGGAACTCGCCCACCGTCGCCAATACCGCCTGGCGCCCTAAACTCCACAAGCCTTCTGCCTAAACCGGCCTATCGTCCGAGCGACGACAACCTCCAGGTCTGTCTCTTCGCCCTTTGACGGCTTTCTCGTAGCCTTTGCTCTGAGTGGCGTGGGCGGGGCGACACTGATGGACCCCGGGCATGGTTTAGCTTCCAATTCGATTTCAAGGTATTGGGCCATTTGGCATTGTGGTGTAATTTAGCCGCGATGCGTAGCCACCTCGGCCGACCCTTCGTCGGCACAAGGTTCAGGTGTAGGGTCGGGGTTCACTGGCTCACTCCCTTTTCCTGTCTGTTTCAGCAAGGATAGCAAGAGTAGCAACATGGTCTTAGCAACCAAAATAACAATAGTCAATAGTCGTCATAACAACAGTAGCAACTGTAACAATAGCAGTAGTATTGTTTCAATTGTCATAACAGTCATAATGTAATAGTCGTCGTAGTAAGATGAGTAATATTCGTAGACATAGTGTTAATGGTAACAACAGTAGAGCAAGTAGCGTTTGAAGCAGAGTCGTCGTCCTCGTCGTAGTGGTCGTAGTTGTCGCTACAGTCGTCGTAGTCGTAGTCATGTCGCAGTCCTAGTCGTCGTAGTCGTGGTATTCGTAGCCGTCGAGAATGAGGATGAGGATTAAGTCGAGGATGAGGGATTGAAAGACCATCCAAAACCCAGAAGGGGTGCAAGTAGCTTGTCCAACCAGCGTCCTGAACAATCATAAATCCAACCCAAAAAGCACGCAACATACAGGAGGGGAGAAAGCCGAGGGGCGTGCAGCATATCCAACTAGCACCGCGAACGGTCCAAAATCCAACCCCAAAGCACACAAAAGCAAAGGTGGGGTGTTAATTAGGGAACGAGGGTGGGAGAAGGGGCGGAAGATTCGAAAGCAAAGCCGGGACGCGGGCCCGAAGTGCATCCAAAGCGGTGCACCCTGAGCACATGTCGCTACAAAGCTACAAAAGGAGTTGGCAGCCCCGTCCCCGGAAGATTTTGGAGGAAGTTAGTCTGTCAAAAGGACATCGCAAGCCCGGTCCCACCAAGATAGATTTTGGCAACAAAGCTAGCCACCAATAAAGAGAAAGTCGCACGCCCAGTACGCCCAGTGCCCCAGCTATCCTTCTGAAGCTGGGTTGTTGTGGTGATGTAGAAGCCTGAATACTTGGGTGGTGCGGTTTCCTTTGGTTCCTAATTGTAAGTCTCGATAGTTGAGCCCGAAACCCTGTTCCAACTATTAAGGTCCCGCAAACCCTAGACTCAAAGCCCTTAACCGTACCTGTTTGGGGATTTTGGGATGAAGTCCGGGACCGACTACAGACTCCAAGGCATGCTCCAGTCCAGGCGGAAGCCTAAGCCTAAGGCCCTCAACCCGAAACATGCCCACTATAGGGGTCGGAAGAACTAGCAACATTATTGTTTCAGGTTCCTGAGTATAAACGAATATAGCACAATTACCCCAAACCCCTCTTCGAACTATTGACGCCCTTCTATTATCCAACGCACCTGAAACTAGAACGTCTAAAGCCGTAATACAATTACAACTTTCAACCATTAACCTTCAACCCCTTAAACTTAAAACCCTAAACCCAAATACCACCGCCACCAAGAAGTTGCCCACCCCCAAACGACAAACAGAGCTTCTGGCCAGATATCGAACTTGAAGCTGGCCTTTACGGTGCAGCCGCGGCACCGGGCCTTGACATGGATGGGGCTGTAAGCGAGGAGTAGGGCTTGTTGGCCCCTTGGGCCGAAGCCCGACCAGAATACCACAGAATCCTTCGGGCGTGGGTAGGCGAGGGTCCTTTGAAGTACTGCTGCAAGTTGTTTAGTTTGGGGATTTTGGTAAGTGTAAACAGGGCTCCTTGCGAATCTTGTTGAGTGCATGTGTTGTGCGTCATTCGGTAACCAAAAGCCTGCGTCAAATTTTTGTGTGCTACACGGCCCCGGTGTCTACGTTCGCAAGAGCTGTCCCTACTCTTAAGAGGCAGGAAACAGGACGGGAGACCATTAGTCACTAGACTAGACCCCCGTTAAACTAAGACTCATTTCTCATATACAGAATGGAGAAACGAAGTGGAAGACTGTCCGAGGTATTTCGCCATGGTGATGACGACCATCAACTGCCTTATCGACTCCTCTGCGGTCACTCCGTTGGGGCTCCTCTTCCTGAATCTGCGGTTAACGGGTTAGTCGGTTTGACGGTTACAGGAGGGTCTTCAGGGTTTCGGTTCTGAGTATGGTATGGGTGTGGGTTTCAGGGTCTGAATGTATTGAAAATCTAGGCAAGATTCAGGTCCCGGCTACGGTGTAGTCGGGGATTTGTTGTTTTACTTTACGGGCCGATTCCGATGCTGTTCACTGCTCCTGAGCATGACAGACTAGTTGGTCTGCCACACATCTGGATGCCCTTCTGGAAGCCTTTTGTCAGCTTCGGAGAAGTATCTAGGCCTTGTTTCATGCATGTGAGTCGGGGGCTCTTTCATGAAACTCGGCCTACGGCCACAATTGTGGTCCTGCACCTTATGCTTGCCCCAAGCCCTAAACCCTAAACCTGAACCCTAGACCCTAAGCCCTAAACCCTCAACCCTAAACTAGGCCCTAAACCTCCAACGTAGCACACGCACCAAAGCTTCCTCCGTGGAGGCTCTACCGCCTCTACTTGATGGGCCTCTCACGCTTCAGCATCTTCGCAGGCGGGGCCTGACAGCTTCATCATTCAGGGTTTTAGAGGGTTTTAGAGGGTTTTAGAGGGTTTTAGAGGGTTTTAGAGGGTTTTGGAGGGTTTTGGAGGGTTTTAGAGGGTTTTAGAGGGTTTTGGAGGGTTTTAGAGGGTTTTGGAGGGTTTAGGGTTTAGGGTTTTCGAGGGTCTAGGCTTGTAGGGTTTTAGGGTTTAGGGTTTATGGTTGCATGTGTCTTCTGAGAGTAATGGGTGGAGCTGTCAGGCTTTCCGAGACGAAAGAGTTGGCGCTGTCTTGTTCTTGCTACTACCACATAGTCTCTGTACCCTTACCTCTACTTCTACCTCTAAGCTAATAATTGGCTGCCACTAATTCTTTTGCTGTTGCATTCGTGGGTCTCAAGTATCTTGAATGCTCTGGTCATGCAGCTCCATGAGGCTGTTGGAAACGAAGTGGCTGCATACTAGCTAATAGAGTCATTAGAGTTCAGAGTGCAGCTTAGTGGTCTGAGTCTGAATGGCAAGCAGTAGCCCCGCAGAATTTCTAGTTTGCAGGGACCCCTAGCAGTGGAGCGTCGAGAACCTCGTTAAAGCTTGTGGCATTCTGAACTCTGACCCAAAGCCCAAGCCTTTCAAAGCTTTGACCATCTATGGCCTTCTAGGGTTCACATAAGGCTGAAGGTTTAATGCCAAGTGTAGAAGGAGTTTAGGGTATCATAAGCCCCCCTCGCACGCTCCAACTCCCGAGGCTATGCTCTGGCATGCCTCATGCTCTCCGTGTCCCTGGCCTTTTGCTGGTCCGGGAGCCCCATGAGAATCCTGATTCTTGCATCTCAAAGATCCAGGCTTTACTTTCCTGAACTTATTGTCCCTGTCAGCCCTTATCTTGGCTCCTGTTCTTCCTATAAGCCCATATGGGCGCTTTTTATCCCGAGAAATCCGTATCCGGGATCCAGTGCTTGCGCAAGTAAGGAAAGCGAAGAGCGCGGAGGAGCTGAAGTCGGCAGAGCTCGCCGAGACGGAGGAGCCTCGCAGCAGGGTTCCGTGCCAGGGTTTTTAAGGCGGGTTTAGGGCTTTCTGGGGGTGTTGAAGGGTTGAAGGTATGGTGCTCAAGGGGTTTTGTGGCCGGGGCTCTAGAGTTCTGAGGGCTTGAGGGAGGGTTTTGGGATCAGGGTCATGATGGGTAGAGACTTAGGAGTTGCTGGTTTGGCCTGTTGCGCTCAGAGGTTCTAGCGTTCAGGGAAATGGGGACCGTTCAGGCGTAAACTAGAGAGGGCAAGCGACCTTCTGCAAGGGTCGGTGATAGAGCGCTTTAACGGTTTAGGCTTCAGGGCTGAGCATGTATGAGTCTTGGTCCGAGGGTCCATGTCCGAAGTATCTGCCTGAGGCCTGCGAGTCGCAGGATCAGGTAAGTAGCTGGGGAAAGGAAGTAGGTGGTACAATTAATTAGGGTAGCCCGCGCTTGCCAACTCCCATGATATTTTAGGTTGCCGATGAATATAATGCTTCAGCGCGATATGGGGGAATTTTGTTGAGAAGCTCAGACCGAGACCCCTGGCCGGTGCCAGATTCAGACTGTCAACGTGAAGACTGACGCAAGATCCGAAACCTTGAGTCCTGAACCTCCTAATTCGAAACCTTGAGTCCTGAACCTCCTAACCATCACACGATACATCAAGTAAGAAAATGCCAGGCAGAGTAGAACCCTACTGACGCGGCCATATGTCGAATACCGACCGTATACACCCTGCACACCCTTGCAGGGAACCCCGAAATCCAGTCCTCAGGGGCAAGAGAGTGGCTCCACGCGACCGCGGCTGCACGGGCTTTCGGTGAAGGAGCAGGCGCACAGTAGTGGGCTGCAACCGTGGCTCAGGGCTTACCGGCTTACAGGGTGTATGCACCTTATGTGCTTATCCGTCCTGATGGTTAGGCACAAGGACATGGAGTGTCAGCACAACGCCTTTTTGAGGGATTGTCTACTGTCCCTGGGATCATTCAACGATGTTCAAGGAGGGGACCTAGACCGAAACCTCCAAACCCTTAACCCCTAAGCCTGATCCCTCGGTTCACAGGACAACTGACAGAAAAGACTTTGCGAAAGCAAGACGTATCGGCATGCAGGCTTTTTCACGTCCGAATGTCTCAACAGCCTTCAGGAACCCAGCATAGGACCCGCAGTGGACACACCCCCAAACAGGGACCCAGAATTTCAAGGGCTCCTGAACCCTAAACCTGGAAACCCGAACCCCCAGACCCAAAACCTTAAACCCGAAACCCTGAAACCTTAACCCAGCAACTTTTGCAAAGAGGCATCTTCTCAGCACAGGAGGGCTAAACACTCAGGAAACCAGTTCCGCAAGGACCTCCCAGGTCCCAGGCCCTGAACAGGGGCCTACCTTTGGCCTTACAAAAGCGGTGTCACTGGATTTAGGGTTTAGGGTTCAGAAAGGATGCAAGGATCCGACATAGTGATAACCAGCCATCCGGGGTTAGGGCCGTAGGGCTTCAGGGGTTAGGTCCAGCGTTAGTTTTTGCAAAGGCCTCTCTTGGAGCTCCAAGGGTCCTGGGGGTGTACATCCAGGCTTAAGCCAAGCAAGCCGTGTTAGGGGTTCACTGGCCTGTTGGCATCGCGACTCTGACTCCTGTTGCTTGTTGCTTGAAGGTCTATTCCCTGGAGTTTGCCTTCGCGGGCGTGTTCCTGACGACGCAGCTGCCCCTTCGTCCTTTTTCGGCCTGGGCGGTTTCTGGTTCGAGAATTGTCCCCCACACATTGCTAATGAAGTCTACCTTGAGCAGACAACAAAAAGGCAGAGTCCACGCACGGGGAATGTGACCTTAGGCTCGGGCACCGGGGTGTGACCCAGTCTAGTTTGAAGCTTCCAGGTCGCAGAAGATGCACTGCAGTGAATCGTGCTGCATGCTCCCATGTGTTCCCAAAGTTGGCAGCGCAATTTCGTCTCAAGGAATGGGTTTGGATGAGTTCTCCTTAAATATCACAAAAAGTACGTCCTTGAACCCTGAACCTTGGACCCTGAAGCAGTTGTGCATTTCCAGTGGATTGCCAGCTTCCAGGACGAATTCCTATGGCCCTATGGCTACTTAGACACTAAACCCCCAAGCAGTTAAGACTCATTTGATGAAGCATCGCTATCCAACAGTAACTATGCATTTGCGGGCCTGAGGGTTTAGGGCCGGGCTTTTAAGCATAACATGGAGCCCTTTTTCATGCCATGGTCAATCAACCGTGTCGGCTCTGACTCTAAGTTGAGTTGTTGGGTTTGGAGTGTAGGCCCTTTAGGCTCTTGGGAGCTATGTTTTTGGACCAGAAGGGGAGCCCCAAGGCAGGTTCACTTGAAAAGAGACAGGTTCCGGTGCAACGCCTACCTCGGCATCAACAAGGACCTGCTCCAGTCCCTGGGGGACGCCGAGCAGAACAACCTGCCACGTGGCCTTTGTCACAGAAGGTTTCGAGGTTTCGTCTTGGTGTTCCTTAAAGCGGGCCATCCGTATGGCAGCCGTCATAAAAAAGCCATGAAAGCCTGTCGTGGGGGCCAGGCTATGGAGATTTTGCAAGAGGTGTTTGCATTTTTGGGAGTTTAGGGGTGGGATTTCTTGCGTTCGGGGCTTCGGGTTTGGGGGTTTCGCGTTTGGGTTTAAGGCTTTGGTGTCCTCGTGTTAAAAGGATTACAGGAAGGGGTGATAAGGGGGTCAGAAGCCGCTCTATCAAATGCCATATAATCAACACAGCACTAGGCACAATACTAATTAAATTAGCCATAGTAGTTTGAGTAACAGTACCAGAATCTCCAGAACAGTAGCAAAAGTAGGAAGCTCATCAGAGCAACAAGTACCGTGATTCGATCAATTGGTGACTAGCCGACTAGCCGTGACTAACTGACTAGCCATTCTGATACTCGTAGTGATCGCAGAAAGACTCAGGTACACCCAGATTTTCAGCGCCCTTCTTCCGGCGTCAACACTCCTGCTTCCAGCGTTCGACTTATGCATGTCGCGCGGAGGCGCTCCTCTTTCGGGTCTGGGGCTTCAGGGCGTAAAGATGACAGAAGGCAGAGTGATGCTGAACATGTCATGTACATGGGACTATGTCATGACAGGCATGACTGGATCGTTAACCGCTGTGTGATTTGAGATCTCAGCGACTAGGCTTATAAATGACTTGCGGCATCGGTTGACGCTTGGGACGCTATGTAAAGCATTTGCCTGCAGAATCTGCCCAAGGCGTACTCATTCACAAACCGGTGTTGTTGGTTGCTTTGTTTCGGTTTCGGATGGTGATGGTGATGGGGATGAAGAAGAAGATGATGATGATGATGACCCTGAAGGTGATGATGCAGACTAACATGGTTACTACGGTGGAATGCTGCCGATTATGTTCGAACTGTCTCTGGGACAGCAGCAGCGACACGAACCACCATAGTGCTCAATGGCCGTAGCAAGAACCAACCATGCGCTGATGATAGAGCCAACGGCAACTGTAAGCAACATGATGTCTAACATCCTACATTAATGTATCACCGAACAAGATGCTTACAGCAAGTGGGAAGCATCTGTATGCTGTACCTTTGCCATCGTCGTGCCAGCAACATCAGCAACATCAGCAACGACAGATCGAACAACAGCAATACAACACAACCAACAGGGAGACCGCTGGTTACTGTGTCAGTAAGCCCAGCTGTATCAACAGGAACAACAGCACCGCCGCGCCATTCCGTGCCGGTGCCGCCCCTGCCACCGCCTCGCCCACCACCATAAGAGCACTACGTACATCTGCAGCAGCAACAAGAAGAACAAGAACAAGAACAAGAACAAGAACAAGAACAAGAACAAGAACAAGAACAAGAACAAGAACAAGAACAAGAACAAGAACAAGAACAACAACAACAACAACAACAATTTTGCAATTGAACGCAGTGCGAGCGTACTCTGCACATAGCGGGCAATTACCGCTGTAGCACTCTCTAAGCTTGAGCTTTCAGACAGTGAAACCGTGTCAA